TTATAAATCAAATATTAATAAATCACAATATAAATCTTATAAATCACAATATAAATATTGTGGTCAAAGGAGGCTAAGATTTTAAAACAGTCAAATGCTAACAAAATTAAAGCAGTACTAATTTATTTTCCTTCAATTGACCCTGTGATCCAACTGCCTGTAAAAATTTCTTTTGCAGACTGTAAGGTTACTACATTGCTATTGTGCTTTGCAAAGAACTTCAAAGTACACAAACCTAGTGAAGGCTTAAGCTATAACATATATCCAAGAGCTCACCAGGGCTTTATCCTTGAATCTTACTGTAGCATAATTAACACCTCCTTCATCCACTGCTCATTAGCGTACTGGACATTAATGAGCCTATTTATTCTCATACGATTCTCTAAAGAAGGAACTTATTTGTTCTTACTGTGCAAAAAAAGCAATTATAAGATAGCTTAGAAATCAAAATGTAGGGTGTGTTGCTGCATTTATGCTTTTTATTGCGTCCCAGATCTAATTTTAGGCTGCAGGTTGTTCAGCATGTTAGTTTTCCCTAAGACAGTTGCTATAGTGATTGCAGTGAATTCCTTTAATCTTGGTGTAGTTAAAATGTTCCTTCTTATGGTTTGAATTGATGCTGTTAAGTAAAAGCAGAATGTCACTCAAGAAATACTTTTGTCCAGTAGTTTATAAAAAAAATTAATAAGAGTAAGGAATTGAGCACAGTAACATTTTGTAGTGCAAGCCCATAAACACATCTTCCACCAAAACATATACAACTACTGATCAAAAATATAGTGTAATAAATAGATGCAGTAACATTGGTATTTAGAATTGTTAGCCCATATTCTACACAATAAAAAAATTAAAATTCAAGTATGTGTTCCAAAACCGTTTTCTCCTTGAAATTCCACTGCAGAACACTAGATGGCTGAAGGCATTTTCTCAGAAAAATGATTAAAAATGACCTTGTAAAAATGGGCCACTGTAATCCCAGCACACTTGCAAAACTGATGCATGGCCACTTATTTAGCATCCATTCAAATAGCTCATCGTGAAAAGTGCATATGGAGCTCAAATCTGAGTAGAAACAATTCTCTTATAAAACACTGCTGTCTTGGATAGGTTCCATGTTTTCTAGTGGAGCAGTCAGTTCTAATCCATTCTAGGAATGCAAGTGTTAGTAGTACTCTAAAATACAAAGCACCTTGTGATTCTGATACAGTGCCAAGTAATTGTATCTTCCCCTCTGAGTAAATTCTTTATTTGTGTCATTTCTTATCGAGCAAATCTCTAGAGGACTACAGTGTAGGATATTTAGTTCTGTTTTTGCTTACTTTTAATTTATACTCCTTTGTGGTTGGGCATTTGCAGGTGTTCAAAAATTAGAACATATGGCTGAAATGCTGCTTCAGGAGTTTGGGAGATTCATAAGACTCAATCCATATACTACTAAAACTCTCCTGTCTGTTTCTAATCTTCAGTTAGCCAAACAGTGCATCATAATGCAAAAAGTTTTAAATCAAGGTACCTCAAATGTACTAACTAAAAAAAACAGCATATAACTGGGACCCATTACTGTCATGGCATTGAAATGTTAACAATCTTCAGACCAGTTGTATTTGCAAACTTATGGTCATTATAGCATTGGTGATTGTGATTGTGATTGTGACTTCTGACACTCCCTGCCGGCTTCCAATAAGCAAAGTCAGTGAGGAAGCCAACAGGAAGTCAGAAGGAATACAATGTCAGTATTTTTGTATTATAAATCTAATCCCCTCATTATTTGGTCAATAGTTTTGTTTGTGATAATAACCATATACATATTTCTTGAAATGGCACATGGAATGCAACTGGTATCCAAAAGTGGTCATGGGGAAGCAATATGCAGAGCATTGGGTTACTGCATAAAGACAATTTCTACCTCTAGGAACTACTGCTAAGGAGAATCATGTTCTATTCATTCACACATTTCAGTCTAAGCAAATTTCTTGAGTGGGGGAGGGGAAGGACCCTTAAAATTATGATTGGGTGATCTGTAAAAACATACATAAATTATGCTCACTCCCCTCCCCTCCCAGGTTCTCTCTGCACAAGTTAATGCTACTGTATAATATTAAAGGCCAAAGTTGCTTGAAAACAGAGAAACACTGTTTAATATAGACCTAGGAATAAGGGTGGTACTGTAGAATTTGAGAGCAAGAAGAGTAGGATGAATATATTATAAAACCTATATACCTATTCCTGAGGTTTTCTTAATTCTAGAACAAGTTAGGAAAAAAATATGATTTTTTAAATTAATTTGTTCCACCCCATTGGGGGAGAGTGTTGCTGAAATTCCATATTTTAATGGGAGCCATATTGATCAAATTAGTGTGAGAACATAAGAAGCTTCTTATGTCTTCAGAGTTTTATGTAAGTGCATTCTTACCGTAGTCTTATAATGGAAATGCCAGGAAGTTTAGTATCTCTATACCACTAAAACCTAGGATCTGTAACCTTTAATTGAGCAAAGTCATAGGGGAACAGTTTTCGAACCAAGGTACCTCAATTGGGCAAACTGAAGGAATATGTTCAAAATTTGGAACCCTTGACTTTAGTGGGGTGAAATTTGGTGAATTTGTAATTGCTTCAGTGTTGCTGTGCTTCCACCCAGAGATTCAGTAGACTGATCCCACCCTAGCCTTCCAGAAGCCAGGTAGACCAGCTCATTTTTTTGCCTGATGGTGATCAGGTAGACTGAATTCACCAGAGCCCTCCAGAATCCCACCATGAGCCGCTGGAGGGTTGCCGGTTGTGGTAATGCTGGCAGGAGGTCAGAAGTAACTCCCTTTCCTACTGGTGTTTTTTGTTGCTGTTGTTGTTTTGCCTTTGGCCATTCGGTTTCTCTGTTATCTCTTAAACAATGATTCAGCAGTCACAGGATATGCAGTGTAAAATAAATGCTTTGCCATTGGGCTTTCTTCCTTCCCTTATCAATTCATATCACTGCTCATAAAATGCTAAGCCATCATTGTTTTAATCATTGCTTGTTGAATAAATAGTATGTCTGCAAACAATTCATATAACATGCTAACAGCATGGCTTAGTGCAATGTGCAACTCAGATGTTATCTATTCTTTTCATCATTGGTAACCATATTAAAATATGCAGATTGAATATTGTGTGAACTAAAATATGAAGATCACATGAACTCTAATTTAAAAGTGAGCTCATTATGTCAGCAAACTGAGATTTCAGTTTATTTCATTTATTCAGTTCTTAAAGCAACTCTTTAGTACAGGATTCCCATTCAACTCTCTTGTTTGTTGACCAGTAAAATGTGTAGATGATACATATTTCATATCTTTGGAGCATTAGTATATTGGTTGTAGCTGTCTTGCCCTTCTGAAAAAGCATAATGACTATAAATTATCTTACATCATTTTTGAGTAACGTTTATGCATTTACCTGGTACTTCTACTGGAAAAGAGGTACAGAAGACAGCTTAAGTTCTTATCTGCTGCCCATGAAAATAAACTGAAATAAGAGCCAAACAATTGTGTAGTTTCGTAATTATTTTTTGTTGGTGGTCACAAATTTGTTTTAAAAAAAATAAATCTTCATTTATTTTAGTCTTAGGGATCTTGTTGGATGCTATTGAGCCTCCAACTTCTTCCTTATGCTTCCCTTTGTGTAACGAAACGATTGTCCTCTCTCATTGTGCCACTGTTTTGTATAGAAGCAGCATTTGGATTCAAATGCTCCTTCTATGCAAGAACATCGTACACATAGGGAAATGATTGCTGTTCTTGGACAATTCATCACATGCAAATGCATGCACATTTACTGAAACCCACTGTTACGTTTCTCCAGTTGAAATTTATAGCCATGTTCATTCAATTCTTTATACTGTTCTGTATATCATTGTGTAGGACTGGTGTACAGCGGAGAGAATGCCTTTCCAAAAGGCACCTATGAAAAGCAGACTGCAGACTGTTAAATATACAGCTCATCCTAAACAACACAAACATGCATATCTTCTTAGAATGTTGAGCTCGGGTAAATTAAGAAATGGCTCAACTCTGTATGAGTAATACTCTAGTTCAGAGGTTTTCAAACCTTTTCAGGCTACAGCACTGTTCACTTAAGAAAAAAAATACCTTGCCAGCTCCAATCAAAAGGCAAAGTTTTAGTGACATAAAATTGACTCATTTGAGTGAACTCCCCCCCCCCTTAGCCTCTCACAGAACCCATTAAGATTTAGAGTACCACAGAACATAGTTTGAAAATGTCCGTTCCAGTCTTTAATCTGCATTGCTCCACATTCTATCTTTCTTAGAATCAGGGAATCATTTATGGCATTTTACAGAATTAAAAATACATCATAAAGTTTTGAAAGTTACCAGCTATATTACTATCCTTGTGACCTTCTTTTTGTTTCCCTTTCTTTTTGCTCTCTTTTACTCTTGGTCATGACACTGACAAGGTCATCATAATCCATCCGACAGTGTGTAGCCTCTTTCTTACTTGCAGGAAATAAAAAGCATCTGACTAGGAGGGAATACATGGGGCAAGTTCCTTGCTGGCTATAATTTTGTTGTCATTTCAAGTGTTCCGTTGGTATAATTGATGTGACACGAGTGGGCTTTACACAGGGTCCCTTAGCTTGTGCTCAGTTTCAGAGTTAGTCTCCCTATTATTCAGAAGATGTTTTTAAAGTTACAATGTGTGTATATGTATATATGTATGTATGTAAACATAACTATCAAAAGCGGGTAAGAGAGCATGAAACTTAATTTATTTTCTCTCATCACCTTGAAAAATACAGTAATTGGTGTCCTCTTGCAATACTAAACTGAGTTGGTGTGCTGATGGCAGAGCCAGCAGGCGGTTCTTTTTTATTAATATTATAATTAAATAATTTTCTGGAAAAAGACCAAAAACAGATGCGACTTGATTGTGATGTCTCTGCTTTTCCTTGGTGCAATCACTTGCATTTTCTTCAGAGAATTGACTTTTCTGTCTTGTTTTTACAGGTTGTTATCGATGCCTTCAGATTAATCAATGCTAATATGATGGTCTTAGGACATGAACCAAGACAAACAACTTCAAATCTGGGTCACTTAAACAAGCCATCTATCCAGGTATTTAATATTAATGTACTTACTTTGAATGTAGCTTAAAATGTATGTGTCTATGAATATACAGACACACACAAAATTTGATTTGCTATTTAGATCTAGTGATTACTTCTTGAATTTTTAATCATTTCAGATGGCATGAAGATGTTAGTAATACATACTACTCTTTTACAGTTGCTGTGTCCTGATAAAATGTGCTGTTCTTTTAGAAATTGTCTGCAGATTTTTTCCTTAAGTTGTTCAAATCATTTTATATGCATGTTTGTGACTATTACATGATGGGGAAGGCAGTGCCTTATTGATGTTAATGGGTTCTGTTACTCTTCGCTTTAATTTTCCTTATGGATACAAAGGTCAGTAGAGCAGTTTAGATTATTTCTTGGAAAAAAGATACTGACTACAGTACATGTATGCCACAAATACATTTTCCTCAAGAGGCGTTGTTTATAGTTTCTCTGAGAACAGGCAAGGGACCTGTGCTTTCTTCATGAACCTGTAGACTATGGGTGATATTCATTATTAACTTTGTATGTATGGTAATAAATCTAAAAGCCCACTCATAGTATTGGGCAGAATCCAGAAAATAATTTCAGAATGAAATCCTTAATAATAGTTTATGTCTTTTAATGGAGTTAGTTCCATGAAATATGCATAGGATTGCAAATTACTGTTCTTAAACTTATTTCCTAATAATAATAATCCCAGGTCCTTTGGAAGGATTTGATAGGTGGATAAAAATGCCATATAAAGGACTTGATAAGTGATCTAAAATCTGCCGAACTGCTCAACCAAGTATAATAATGATTTTTTAATAAATAAGTAATAATTTACTATTTCCTAAATAAGTTGGAACCTCAAGACTGCAGGTCAAAAAAGATGAAATCCCTCAGGAAATAAAACTTTATATTGTTATTAGTTGACTCCATTTTTCCTTTATAAAGATGTTGATTTTTAAATTTCATTTTAGAAATATGAAGCAGCCATCAAGCATGTTCCCATTCCATCATAATCTGCAAATGAATTTACATTTTTTGTTTACTGTTAAGAATTACAGTAGTACTTCTCTTAATTGCAAGCAATGCCTCTCATATTCCCCACCGGTCCAGGTTTTAAGATGATTTAGAGAATGTTCGAGAACACAGCTTTGTCTTAGTTGCAATGAAGTTTGGTGTGGATGTATTTACATCTTCTGGATGAGCTGAGAGTAAGGGAATTTGTTCTGGAAACTTGCTAGAAGGAAAGAGGATGTAATTATGCAGTTTGCTGTTTGTTTTGTAAGTTCCAGACCAAGACACTAAATTAACCTTATAAATAACATTGAAATGTGAGATCTACTTAGCCATAGTATGTGATGCATGTTCTTAAAACAAGTATTCCCCCATGAATGATTATTGCTTTGTCATTATCATTTTCCTATGCTAAAGGTAATATTGCCAAAAATATTATTTTTCTTTTCAAATGAATTTTAAAAATCCCAGTTAGTTGCCACCAGAAATCTAATTATTTCTCTGAAGATTAATTACAGGACTTCTAATAGCAACACATGCTGCAAACACAGTACTTGTAGTTGAAAACAGCAAATACTACTGTTGACTTGCAATTTTTGTTCTTATCTTGACAATAGTATCTGTCAATAGTTTATGCTCATATTTCAAACACTATATGGGCTTCATGAATAATTATCTACAGATTTCCCCAATAAAATAGAACAACTTTTTCAATACTAAATAATTTCTATTTAACAAGAATGAATAAAATTACTCCCTATTAGAATTGGTATAAACTACAAAGCCTAATGAGTATGGAAGAACCCTCTAATGTTTTTGATTGGGTGCAGGCAAGCCTGTGCTTGTATGTTTCTAGAGAATATATTACTGGGCCTTTCAAGGCAGTATGTAATGACCTCTTATGCAAACCCCACGGTATTGTACTGCTTCCTAATTTTTCTATTTTTTATTGTTTGCTTTTGGAAAGTTAAGAAGTACCAGTATCTTACTTTCAGTTTAGCCATTATATACAAGTATAGTTAGCCTATAAGATTGCTTCTTGCTTGTTTCAGCTATAACCCTGACTTGCTGTACAGTATGTTTAAACATTTCCTCTAAAATTATTCAACTTACCACATCCCATTTGTTACGAAAAGAACTACCAAAAAGGGATCTGCATAATATTTGGTAATATTTCCTCATATAAGATGTAATACAGCTGCTTCCACTACTGAAGAGGTAGGCTGCTCTTTAGTGGAAACACTAGCAACAGAAGAAAAGCTTAGCAGCAGTATTCAGTTGAGGATTTAATTCTACTTTGTACATCTGTGGCTTTTTTGGATCCTAATCAGAAATAGTTCTGGGCATTTATTTAACTTTTGTTTGAATTAGAGAATCAAATTAGAATTGAATTTTAACAGAAATACAGATTCTTGCTGGTTTGCTTATAATCATTTGAAAAACTTTTGAATTATAAATTCTCCACAATTATAATCTGTGATATATTTATGTGTTCCACTCCATTTATATGCTACCCCTACTGTAGATTCACACTACAAAACAACTGAAATCCTTTTAAGTTAAACCCATTAATTAGGACAATGATTCATTATACCGTATACCAAGGTATTATTTTAAAAGTATCTCTGCCCTATTGTATATTTATTTCCTTGCCATTAAAATATGTTTCATTGAGTTTGCAACACTAGAACATCTAGCTATATTTAAGTAGCTGCATATGTTGAAGAAAAAAAGTTCAAGTAACTCACAGCCTAAATGCAATATTTTAAGATAACTAATCTGTTTTGTTGGCAGAAATGATCACGTGCATTTTAGTAATGCTTTTTAAACATTCTCTTTCTAGGCTTTAATCCATGGGTTGAACAGACATTACTATTCCATTACTATCAACTACAGAAAGAATGAATTAGAACAGAAGGCAAGCTCTGTTTTCCTAGAATATTTTCAGTTACTAACAACAAAAAATGTATTTGTCACTTTGATTCTTTATTACAGCAGGGAAATTTTTCTGACCAAGAGCTACAGCGGATGGGGCAGCGTTACCAACATATATTGGGCGGGGAGGTTAATTACCTCAAAATATTTTTCTTTTGTTTTTTATGTTTTTCCCCAAATTATATTGAGCCTATTTTAAGGTTTAACACTACCATTTTTGAGTATTCCTTTCCAACTAGTAAGAAAATGCTGTTGAAATTTATTAACCACAATAATTTGGCGTCTCCACTTCTGACTAATGTCATATAGCTAATCTATTGTCACCACAAATAAAATCTCAATGTGAACTCTGGTAGAAAGCAACATTTCTTCCAGAAGGCATCTGCATGCATAAGTAGTCAATGTGCTAGTAAATATGTGGTTGGCAAAAATCAGTCTGACTTAGAGAATTTATGAACATCTTTGTTTAAATTATGATAAAAATATGGCCATTCTATTTTTAAAGCTACATGTTTCTGAAAGCTATTTTCTGTTTTTGTAGTGCTATTACAATGAATCTGTTAATTTTCTTGCCTTTATTTATTTTTAAAAGCATATACACTCTTTTCTTACAAACCTGCTTACACAAGCTAGCTTATCCATATAATCCATCTAAAAATAATTCAGCTATTCTTGAATATTTACAACCAACAAAACATATAAACAGAAGCAATTGATTGAAGATTTATTTTGCAAAGCATATTAAGTAAGTTTATCAGCCTTCTCGAACACTTGCATGACTGAGCACTGGCATCTTTGTTCAAGGAGCTTCTTGTGTAACACCGGGACTATCATTATTATTCTTTGAAAGAAAAATTGCATGTTTTAAAAAAACATTTTCTGAGATAAATTCGGTGAAGGGTTATTAGATCAGCCACAGGTTTGATTCCCCCCACCCAAATATAACTATAGGTATACTTTTGTATCTATAATTCCAGTAGTCTAACTAAAAACATAACTATCCTTTTTTTCAAGTTTGCTAATTCTTCCCAAATGCAGACATTTTAATTTTTATGCCCACAACAGATTCCATCTGTTGATGATTAAAGTTGATTTTAGAGACAATGTAACTGTTCAGATACCTTTCCATACTAATTATCTTTATAGGAGAATGTAGACATTAACTAAGGTCATTGTTCAATCATAAGTGTTCAGTAGTGTTCTTCAAGGTGACAGATTCAAACTGAAAAGCAGTCTCCTCACCAGAAGCTCAGTTGGGCTTGCAAGAATTAAGTGCTAAGGTCTTTGCGGCTTCAAATTCTCACTGCTGTAGTAAACACAGGAGGGCAATTTTGTTGAAGCAGGAAACAGGCTTTGTGAGCTGAGATGCTCTATATGATATACCTGTACTTTCAAGAGATGGAAAAAGTGATATTTGAGCTGGGTTTTTTGCATCTTCTCCCCCCCCCCCCCTTTGCATTCTGGAGGTTGAGCTTTAAAATTAAGCTATGGAAACATTACTTTGGTTCATTTCACGGCATACACTTTTATAAAGGTGATAACAGTAATTGTCAAGTGTGATTTAAAAAGGGTTTAAGAAATGAAGACTACAGTATTTTCATCAACGTATGCAGCCTTTGCACAGTGTCCTGGCATCCATGTTTCCTGTATCTTCCTTGTCTGTATTCATGATTTCATACTCATGGCCGAGAATAGGACTTCTGCTGTTTTAACACCAATTATTTATTGGAAGCTGATAGTCTGGCAAAAGGCCTAAAACCACATGAACCCAAACATGTTTTAGCACTCAATCATGTCTTCATAAATCCCCCTATGAGTGTGGGTTCAAATTTCACAGTGACCTTACAGAGCAAACAATTTTTATCTTCTCAGATGGACTCAGAGGGAATGGATAGTTAAGTCTATGGTGTGCTAATCTATGAGACAGAAAAAGTTATCTGAGGTAGCCTCGGTAATTCGAGCTTGACACCAGTTTTCTAAATTTAAACTCCCATGCTAGAAACTTTTGTATCTCTTTGTATTTATTATGATAAAGCATAACTGAGCTGGTTTTAGGTCTGTATTCTGTCTCCTATAGACAACATGCTTCTGGTATGGCACTGGGATGTTGTCCCCCTTGAAATGAAGGATTCAGCAGTCTTTGCAGATTTCCTGTTTTTGTGCCATGTTTTCTCCCGCCCCTCCTATGTTAAAGAATGGAGGGAAGAATCTCTTTAAAAAAAAAAAAAAGTCCACAATCTTGCTGGGAGTTAGAAAGGAAAAGAACATTATTAAATATTCCCTCCCAGTCTTCTGACTCTTTTTCCCCTGTTCTGGATTAGAACTCATCTTAAGAAATGCTTGTATCATTATTTATTTATACTTATTTATTAATTTTATATGCCACTTATCTCACTGTAACAGTGACTCTGGGTGGTTTATAGCGTAATAATGAGATAATACAAAATGATTAAAAATTAAGAAACATTAAATCTTTAACCAGAGTTTTTCTGGACACCAAGACAGGCAACATATAAATTTAATAATAAATTAACAAAAAAATTAGGTCTAACCCAGTAGATATTTGTGATTTCTCATCTGTCCTCCTAATGCTACTTCCATGTTCAAAATGTATAAATTATTTTCCTGTATAAGCCACAAATACAATTATTTTACTATTTGCTCTCTATTGTTTTTCTTCTTCTTTTTCTTTTGGGTAGATGTTACTGAATTTACATAAGAAAAGTTGGATGGAAGGTTTAACTCTTCAAGACTACAGCGAGCACTGTAAACTCAATGAAACTGTGGTAAAGGAAATGCTGGAACTAGCAAAGAACTATAACAAGGTACCATATTGGGCCTCAGCCAGACAATTACTTGACCATATAATTTATCAGATTACCTTCTGGAAGCATTGATTCAAAAATTGATTTCAATGTAATGTGGAGAAAAAAGAAATACCCAACCTTGAAAAAATAAAATGGCATTAATCATTTCAAGAAATTAGCACAACTTATTTTAACATCATGGAAATGGACATACCTTGCCTTTTAATTTTTAAAAAACTCAACTCATTGCTGCAGTCAACAGCAAAGAAACGCTGAGTTTTGTGAAAAGATGTGCAGGTCAAGAATAGTGAAAAGGCTTCTTGCTTGTGTTGTCAGAGGAACTTGTGTTAGAGTCAGTGACATTTGTACAATCCATATTATTTCTGGATTTGTTCTCTATTCATTGTATTGAGAAGGTATGTTGCTCTGACCAAATTGATATTAACCACATCCCACTGAGCACTTCTAAAAATCATTCAAATAATTTTGAGGAAGGCATTGACTTATGTCCTGATGTACTAGTTAGTTCCTTTGGTAAACTACCACAGTTAGGTGTGTGTGCGTGTGTCTTAAAATAACATTAAAGCTTCAGCTTCAATGGAAAAAGACAAAGTTTATATTTTGAAAAGCTTTTGAAATAATAAGATATTAAATACCAACCTTTTCTACATTTGTTTTTCAGGCTGTGGAAGAAGAGGATAAAATGACACCTGAACAGCTGGCAATAAAAAATGTTGGCAAGCAGGTGAGGAATTACAGTGGCATGAAAAAAATTACTTTGGTGATTTTTTTTGTTCTTAATTTCTATAACAGCCATTTATTTCCACTATAATTACTTAAAGTCAGTGATTTAAAAGTGTATCAACAATAGACATAAAATTGACATTTGACATCTGCCACTGATATATCCAGGCAGTCCTTACTTAGCAACCACAATTGGGACCAGAAATCTGGTTAAGTGAAGCAGACACTAAGTAATACCAAGACTGTGCTTAGGATCTTAATTTAGCTTTCCTTTGCTATGAAGGTCGTAAATATGAGGATTGTGAAGTTATTTTTTCATCACCATTGTAACTGCAAATGGTTGCTAAATCAGTCACTAAACAAGTATCTATAAAGTAATTTTTCTTCCTTAATAAACCATCTTTTATCCCTAGCCTTATAGTGTGTTTACATATAATATTCAGGATGCCTGAGTATAATGTTGTAATCAAGAATTTATTTGTTTATTAAATCTCTAGAACACCCAACTCAATTAGTGACTCAATATAAGGAAGTCACAATTTCTGTTACATTGTTCCGTTATAATGTGCTAAAAAGAAAATCTCTAAATTGCAGATTTATAACTCTGCTTTGAAATGAAAGTGAGCGTTACAGTGGATGGATAGAGGCTGGATTATATATCAGAAATTTGCAGTTTAAACATTACTTGATTAGGTGTCTTAAGTTTTGTAGTTGTGTCTCTGCACTTTTCCTTAGTTTTAGAAATAATATTAAATGAACATTCATATGGTATATTGATTCCGATAATTTCTTCAAGCACATTTAATTGGAAATTAGTTTTATGTTGTATGTGCATTCCAGCGGGCCTGGGTTCAGAAAGTCGCTTGTCTAAAAAGTGATCTAAATATTCTTGGATTTATTTTGATAAGTTTAGGAGGGAAGCTGTGTTGAACTGTAGTTTCATCTCCATACTATAAGAGAAATTAACTCAAAAGATACTTAATTTCTGTTTTTAGAAAAAGTTGTCAAGACTTTTGCTTTTGAATGTATGATTATTTAGCTATTATTTTAATTGTGTCTTTATTGTTCAGTATCTTGTTTTGCCTATTAACTGCCTTGAATACTATCAGATGGAAAGATGGGGTACATATTTAAATAACAATAAACTTCAGCAGTCTAACCTTCATAGCTAACTATTGGGAAATATAGCTCAGGAGTCTCTGTATTTCTGCAGAACAATATCGTTGGAAGAGAAAACTCTAAACATCACAGAACCTGCAGGGTTTTTTAAAGTAGTTCTTAAATTTAACAATACAATTAAATAAAATCTGAATTATTACAGATATTAAAATAAAAAATCATCACTATTAGCTTTAGTTATCTAGATGATGAAACAACAATGTGAAGTAGGTGCTTAATAGCTTTTATTTTTTCTGATCCCTTTGAAATGAATTGGGCTTTTCTTAAAAGCTTAGTCTTAGATCAGGGGTCTCCAACCTTGGCAACTTTAAGCCTGGGGGACTTCAACTCCCAGAATCCTGGCTTAAAGCCAGTCCCCCAGGCTTAAAGTTCCAAGGTTGGAGATCCCTATCTTAGATAATAGTAGCTAAGTGACATGTCTAGTGGAAGTGATTCAGGAAAGCATGACCAGAGATTTGGATCCAGTGAGGAATCTTTCTTCCAAGCTGATTTTCTCCTTAATGTAACTATGTTAACCAATCCAGACATGGACATACATCTTTTTTCACTCCAATAGCAAGCTATGCATAAATTAAACACTTCTAAAAAAACACCTTAGTGTTACTTCAGGTTTTCTACTGCAACAGGGGGGTTTTCCCCTTAAGTGTATTTTATGGTTTGTTTTCATTTATTTAATTGGAAAGTGCTTTTGTTTTGAGTGAGTATATCTTAAAATAACATGGGATGAAATCCCAGTTCCATTGGAAGCAAATGGCAAAGCTCCCATTGATTTCATTAATGAACTTGATAAATAAAGAATGTTATGATGGAGTTATTATTTAAATTGACTGGTAATTTACAAAGGTGATGCCTATATAAGTAGTTAAATATAGTATACAGTATGCGAGATGTATATATATCATCATTACTTCTGAATCGCCATGTAAAAGTAAATAATCTACTGTACATCATAAACCCCAGAACACAATTCTTTCCAGCAGCCAGCAGCCAGATAAACAGGAATTAACAGCAGATAGACATCAAGAAAAATAATAATACCCTAATCAAGAAACTACCAAAGGAAAGCCACATCCCCCCCAAACTGGCAGGTCAAGCAGACCACCTATTTATAAATAATATTGATGTTTACTAGCACTGATGATGTTACCTAGTTGGTAATGAAACATCTGAAGTAAACAATCAAATTTAGAGAGCATCAATAACTCCACAGTATTTATATTTGGTATTAAATGACGAAGAAAACACTATAGTTGGCGGTATAACGAATTTAATAAATAACTAATGCATAGAAAGAAATGTAAATCCAAGTGTTCAAAATTCCAATTTTACATCAATACTGGGACAGTAGTCAGATAGATATAAACAATATGCAGCCCTGGACAATCTGACCCTAAACCGCTTAGAAAGGGCTGTAAAGCACTGTAAAGCGGTATATAAGTCTAAGTGCTCATAATTTCAGCAATATTTTTATTAGATACTGCCTTATATTGCTTGCATAACAGAACTCTGAACTTTAATTGCTCCTTAACTATATCAGTATTAAATGGAAACCACCATTTGTAAATGTGATATTTCAATAAATTATAAACATTTTTAACATTATATTTTAGGATCCTAAACGTCATTTAGAAGAACACGTGGATGTGCTGATGACTTGCAACATTGTCCAGTGTTTAGCAGCAATGTTGGATACTGTTGTATTTAAATAATGACTTACTCATAAATGTTATTTGCTGACTATTATCATCCATTGTTTAAAGGACTGAGGCTAAGATATATTTGGATGTCAGAGACATCTGGCATCATTTGCAGTTTAAGAGCATCACTCTTAACACCTTTTCATCTATGTTGTGCAATTACTTTGGCTATTTTTTTAATGCAAGATCTCTGCAGATGCTAAAACAATTCAAGAACCAGGTTAAAAAGTGTATTTTCATTTTGATTTTTGAAGATAATTGGCAGCACATATATATATTCTTTATTGCTATGTGGCTTTTTAAAAAGTCTGTTAAACTCCTTAGTATTTTGCTGACATTGTAACTGAGAAAGAATCAATTATTGACAATACTGTACAAAATTCAACAAGGAGACAGATGCCTTTCTATAAAGACTTGTGCCATGGACACATTTTTTTTCCAAAAACTTACTCAGATTACAGATCCCTTTTATATGAATCACGGTTAAGTCCCACAGTATTTTTACCAGCTTGGACTCAACCTTGCAATACAAGAAAGAAAACAGAAACGCTCACAGACAAATGCAAAGCACTTCCCATTATTAACTATAGTGTTTCTAAAAGCCCCTGGATTAAGGCATTTAAGTCAGAGGGATGTGCCTTCAGGAAGGCCTGAACCTATTTCTGCTGCATTCACCACAAGGAAGGTAGAGTTGCATAAGGTTTTAAAGATAATTTGAGACTATTTGGCTCTGACCTGACAAAATAATAACTGCTGATAGTAGTAATAGCTAACATTAATTTGATGATATTTGAACAATATTTGTAGATAAGAAGCAATGAGACACGTGCTATTAATCTTGCCAAAATGCCAATGAAAACCTGATCATAAATTTTGTTGAATCTTTCGTCTAATGACATTTCTGTAACTTCCACATCTGCTTTGTCAAACACAAAACTCAGTAGGCTTCCCCAAAAGTACAATTTTCTGTACCCATCCCCAACTTTCCTCCCTTCATATAGCTATAAATGGTTCTACAGTGTATGAACAAAACACAGAAGATAATAAAAGCTTGGAACCAACACCTGAAAAGTTACAACAAATCTGTTACAGACAAGGTCATCAAAATATGGATATTCTTTGTCAACATACTCTGTAAATACCATTGAAGTGCATACTAAAACATCAAATTACAATATATTTTGGGGTTTTTTTTTCTTTTTAACCAAAAAAAAGACACTTTTGAAAGAAAGCTGCGGGGGCTTTCCAACATTATGTACACAACTAAAGTATAAGGAAAAAATATTGATTGCTTTATGAGATACTGTTATGGGAACCAATTTTTAATTTGTAAATGAAGTACAAATTTATAAAGGAATAAAGGAATACAAATTGGTAAGAAATAGTCTGGGTCTATTTTTTTATTTGTATAATTGATAAATTTAACCATCACAGTACTTTTTATTTTTTGTTTTTATTCCACTTTTATTATTTTTATGAATACATATTTAAAAAACCCTAATATGTAATCGCTTTATTTGCTGTGCTCTCTGTGTAAGTCTACAGAAATCAATTATTTGTTGATTTTTATCCCGCCTTTCTTATTTTTATAAATACATCATTTTAAAAAACCCTAATATACAATTGCTTTATTTACTGTGCTCCCTATACAGGCAGATATAAATCAGCAGAGATCTTATATAAGAGCTTAACATTATTTTCAATATAAGGTTTTTCTCTTTGGCATACTTTAAATTTGAAATATTTTATTTTATAAAAGAAATATCAATTTAGGTAAGCACTGAGCAGAATTTCCAATAGTCATGGAGTGAAACATCAATACTTTGCAATGCTTTCTAGCTAATTAACACTTCCTTGAGGATAGGAAATGTTACCCCCTGCCTGAAGGAGGCAGTTATTAGACTTATTTTTTTATTATTTTCTTTTTTATAAATCTTCCCTTGATCCAGCAGATCTGTGCAATTATAGGCTAGTCTCAAGACATTTCATTACTGGAAATGGTAATCATAAATATGATGACCTCACAGCTCCAGATGCATCTAGATTATGCTGAGAATCAACCATTTTTAATTAGACTTTTGACTGGTATATAGTAGTGACAATGGTTTGGTCATCTAAGTGATCACCCATACTAAAATGGACAGGGAGAGTGCAGCCTGCTAAATCTTTTGGGCACAGATATGTATATATTTTTTTATACCATCCATTATGCTATTCTGAACTGTGGCAGGATTAGGCGTTTAGGATATTATTTTATATTTCTGCTCCTTCCTCTGTCTAGGATGCTACAGTGTCCCACAGAGATCTCCCATTGACATGAAAAGTCCTGATCTACCTGTCACTGAATTCATAGTTGACATAGTGAATTTGCAAAATTATAGCCAACTGTCAGCTACAATCTTTCCCAAATCAGACTGGGCAGCAATTTCCCATGGAGTAGTTATATCCCGCCTTGCTAAATATTGCTAAATATTCTGTGTGTCTCTGCCTTTGACAATACCTTGAAACTTCAATTGGTGGAAATGCAGAAGCTAACTGGAACAAAATGCAATAATTGTGTGACACCTGCATTAAAAAATGACCACTTACAGCTAATTGATTACTGGGTACAATATAAGTCATTGACTGATCAAACAAACAGAAGAGAATCTGACAATTAAATTGAATAACTCAGCCTTCTTTTGCGCTTCATATCTGCAGGAATAAACTTGAAGATATTCCCTCAGCTTCTGATCTGTGATGGAGAGCTATTCCTGTGCCATTCCAGGCCATGAATGCACTTTATCAGAAGTCAGAAGTAATGTTTCCTTCCAAGTTACATCCTGTTTACAATTTAAGTTGGCTTTAGTATTAAAACAGTTTGCATGTTAATTTAAACTTTGTTAAGTCATTTTGGGCAGAAAGATGAGTTGTAAATAACGCGTACATGCACACAAACATGTTAATGTTAAATCATATACATATGTTCTCTATGTTACATTTATTTTAACCTTTGTTATTGTTCCTAATGCATGGTGACAGCATAGTGTGTTCCAGATGTTTCTGACAGGCCTTGCTGGATAGACCTGATTAGAGATGTAGCTAAAGACACCTTTAAAGGTCTGAGAAACTGGTTGTACACATACCTGCTTTAAAGTTAAACTGACATAAAGCTGCTTAAAGTGAGATCAACTTAGAAACTTAGATCCATTCTTACAAATGCTTGGAAATACTTTAGTGACCTCTGCAAATAATAAGAGGAGATACGCATTTTCCATTGTCAGCAACTCTTAGTAACTATCAAAGAGAAAACCACATCCCCATCAACACTGACAGGGCAAGTTACTGCATATAAGAATAGGAACTAAACCCTACGCTCACTAACACTGATGATGTAACCTAGTAGGGTAAATGAAGGTCTGCAAGCAAACAAGTCCAGAGACACAAAATATTTTTCTCTGACAATTTTAAATGACCAAGAAATTACTATAGTTGGCAGAATAGCAAGTTTAATAACATAACTCTAACACAGAAGGTAATGTCACATCTGAAAGCAAAAAATCAAGCTGCACCAAAGAGTAGTCTTAAGTAATCTCACTGCTAAAAATATATCACACCCACCTCCATCAATGGGGAAAACATCCCAAAATGTCACGTGACTGCAATGTGACACCATAAATTTGACACCCATAATGAACTATGGGGGTCTGGATGCAGTTTTTAAAAAAATAAAAAACCTAGAAATTACAATAGTACTTGTACCAATGAACTTCAACTCTAAGAGATACTGCACTCTGATAATATTTTAATTTATCTTCCACCCTTCTTTTGGTCAGATGAGACATTTTTTATGTCAAAATCTGCATTATGTTGGATCTTGTTAACCAGTTTAAGAATAACAGTTTGCATGTGGCAATCTTTTCTCCAGTAGTGTTAATTGCTACAGAATTAACACACGAGTATTGTCTATTGGTGATGAAAACTGATCTGAAATTAAGCATGAAATTTCTAAGCACTAAAAATATGGGTTTTATTATTTGATCTTTCAAGATGTATGGTAGACAAGCACATTTAGGTATACATATATGTTTCTCAAAAAAGATGGAACTATATATTAATAACTAAGAATATGAAATTTAAACATTCCAACTGAATAAACCTGAAATAAACAAGGGGCACTAGAAAACAAAACGTGAATTTAGTGTTGATCATTCAGCCGTAAAATCGAAGTATTTATATCATGCAAAAACAATGGCTTCCTATGTTAAAAGTCACAAGTTCTCACCATTTTTAATTGATGGGAATATTATTTTTAGCATGTATTCAATCTACAGATCTTGGGCTCCTTATTGTAGCTCATCTTCCATCCTCTACATAAAACCTACCATAAACCAGTTGTGACCATTAGTAGGACATCAAATGAAAGGTAATTAGAAGTTTAAACTACCCCAATTATGTCAGGTTTCTTTAAAGCTCACAAGGCTCACAAGCTATTTGGAATTTTGGAGGCCCTGATGTTTCCATTACTCCTCCCAGTGTATTTGTTTAATCTACTATTATATACAAGCAACAACACAATTTGTTACAGCCCAAGTAAAGTGTTGCTCACTCAAAACAGTGGAAGTGCGACAAAAGTACTTCTTGCAACAAGATAGTTCTTATGCCTGACATTAGTACCATAAGATTGCATTGCTCACAACTTGCACCACCTTAAAACACTAATGACTAGATTCTGGCATAAGCTTTTGCTGAAACAGACCAACAAGAACTGTTCCTCGGGGAATGTATTAATTAACTCCAACTTAGCAGCTTTGTTTTAGAGTTTCCCTTTGAAACTTCTTGTTGTTGTTGCAATATGGCAACTTTATGGGCTACAACAGAATGTCTTGGGAAACAAGAGACTGAAGTGTGTTACCACTTTGGGGCTCGAATTCTGTACTGATTTTATATGGGAGTAAGGCATACACACTGCCAGATTTCTGTCCACTGATTGTATGTGATAGACTCTGAAGTTTATGCCTGTAACAATATGGTTAAAAAGAAAAAGAAAAACTCACAAAATCTCATTCATTATGGGAGTAAGACAAGAAACTAAAGTTTGTTTACTGGACCGGATATTTTTTGTTAAACCGAGTGAAACATTTTTCAATAAAGCACATTTTGTCATTTTCCTAAGAACTCTCATTCCTCCTTTTAAAATGTTATTCCTATCAGTATTGTGACATTGGAAAAGATTAATTCTGGAAATGTGGAATTAACTCTCGTACAGAATAAGTTATGGATTTCGGCTTGAATTCCGGGGGTTTATATAATAACCCAACTCACTTATTTTAATGACTCTCCTCCCAATGTTTAATATCCATCAAACATTGTGTGTCAGAATGGCAAAAGAAGAAAAGGGGGGAAAGGGAATTGTGAAACCTCAAGCAAATTTTAAAATTCAAGTAGGCAGTACAATAAATAACCTGTGATTCAACTAAAATGTGCAGTACCAAATGCTAGGTTCCCAATCTCCCTCCAGCTCTTTGTTGGAAAAACAGTCACCATCATATGGGAAGAGATGGGTGGAATTAATTCGGGGTGGGGGGTGGTGGGGAAGCCTGATATCCTCAACTTTAGCTGTAATCTAAAACAGTGTGTTTTTTTTAAATGGTGAAGAAAAACTGACCACTTATAATAAATACAGTCCCTATCTTGCCCCAAATTGCCAACCTGTGATTAGTGGAACGGACAGCCAATCAGGGACCACCCTGATCTCCACAGCGAAAAGTAAAAGAGGAGGAGGAGGAGGAGGAATAAGCACAACGGCTAAGGGCTCCTACGGTTCTCGGAGAGTCCGATTCGCTCCCCGTGGCCGCTCTCATTTTCTCTTGCTTACGGTTATGATTATCGCCACTGTTACCTCTGCTATTATATATCTTTCCTATGCTTTTTTTTTTTTTTAATGTCGTTAAAACCCCCGAAGACAATCCGGGCAAGTTTCCAGCGATTTTTAAAGTGTAAAATTCCTCTCAAGGCAAACCTACCCGGGAAAAGGGGTTCTTGAGGGACAATGGCTGAGGGAACGCGCAGCCTGGTGGCCTCTGGACTTCCAGACCGAGGGTTGCTGTTGTTTTTAAGCGAACCCAATGGGCCACGGCCGCGTTTTAGCTAAGCTCGGCGTTCTCAAACCTTTATTATTGTTTTAAAGGTGTGTGTGAACCCCCAAGCCCCCTCCTCCCCCCCCCCTCGCGCCCCCCCAAATCAATCCCGGAACATTTTTTTCTCTCTCTCATTCTAGTAAGACGTTAATTTATTCCTACAAAAATCCAGGTAATTATTTGTGACAAGCTTATTATCACAGAAGAGAGCCGGGCGTGAGGGGGAAAGTATTCAAAACACCGAAGGAACAGGAG